GAGCCACTTTTTTATAGAATGAGAATGCAAAATATAACTGTTATTGGAGCCCACACAAGAGACAGAAAATTTGAATTTAAATGTTGATGCGATGGATAACAGTCATATTTTTTATTTTAATGAGAAAATAAAGTTGCCCAAACGGGGTCTGAGAAAGTACTTATTTTGTTTGTTTATTAATATACCCTATTTAATTTGCCTAGTTATCACTAATTTCTTCCATTTAATATTGAAATTGTACATATTTTAATTTTCCTTTTTGGAATTATCCAAATACATATACATATTTCCCACTTTTTCTTGAAAACATGAACAAAAACACGTTATTTACTACTAGTTGTTTGATAATTAAATAAGGATAAATTGGAAAAATTCTTTACATAAATTGCTTTTTCGAAAATATTAAATAAAATTTCTTAATCTGTGTGGAAAACGAAAACCAACCATTATAAATGGGACTGATGGAGTATAATTGTTATAATATGTTTTTCTTATAAAAAACGTGCTTATATGTGAATAAATAGTTCTTTTATTTGTCGAAGTTGACATGAGAAAGTTTGATAGTGAAATTAAAGTTATTTTCAAAATAAATAATTTTTCTTTAAACAAAAGTAAGAAAAAAAATTAACTTATAAGTAATTCTTAAGCTTGGGAAACATGCTTTTTAATTTTTATGTTGATCAAAAATGGAATTGAAATTATGCCATTCAAGGACTACTTAATAGCCTTGGTCAGCGTGCACATACCATATCTTCTTCCCTTTCTAAGGCAACTATATTTCCCCCCAACATTAATCCCCTGTGGTTGCTGATGTATTTGAACCAATCTTTTATAGGAAATCTTCTTTTTTCCCCCTTTAAAGTTTCTTTAGCTACAATTTGAAGTAATAAAATTCGACATGGAATTCATTTCTCGACCCATGTACTATGCATAGAAGTTTGAGAATAACCATAGATGAGCGGCTACTTACATATTTTAATCTTTCCTTGATTCCGAAAAAAATTGAAACTTTATGCATCTTCAAATGTCGACACCCATTACATAGTTAAAAGATTGTTTTGGCCTTCAATTTTGAAGTAACTAGAAAAAATATATGAATTACGCTAAGCAAACATTCTATGGTGTACATCCTTTTGACGTTGTGTAGAAATTCAAAAGGTGTTGGGGTGGGAAAGTGTGTTTTTAACTGTCCAATCATGTGTCAACATGTGACACAATGTCAAAAATGATGTAAAATAAGATGTAATTGTAGCATGATTGAAAATATCTAAAATATATTAAATATCGCATCAAATAAGAATCATTTTCTAGACGATTTTAGCCCTACTACAATTTAATTATTTCAATAGAACTTTACTTTTCGTTTTTCAACGTACATTTAATTGAATATCAATTATTAAATATGCAAGCAAATAAATAATTTAATTGTACGAGAACAATCAAATTGTTTCATGAACATGAAATTTAATTAATTTGAATAAATGAATATAGAAAAAATAATAATGTATATACATTTAAACAAATAGGGTGTAAGTAAACCAACACGAAATTTAATTAATTTGAACTAATAGATATAGAAAAATAATAATTTATATACATTTAAACAAATGTGGTGTACATGAACCAACATAGAATTTAATTAATTTGAATCAATGAATATAGAAAAATAATAATTACCATACATCTATAATATATTAAATATCACATCAAGTGAGAATCATTTTTTAGACGATTTTATCCATACTACAACTCAATTATTTCAATTAATACCTTACGTTTCGTTTTTCAATATGTAAAAAAATACTACAAAATTCTTGTCATGCATGAATTTCGTATTATTAATTATCAATTAATTAACATTCACATTAATCTAGACTCAATGAATTTTGACTTGATGAATTTTGATCGACATGAATCTAGAGTTATCATAGATGAATTTATTTCTATTCATGTATTTAGAAATTTTAATGGGTGTTTAAATTAATGTATTAACAATTAATTCTTATGTACCAAATGTAGTATAAAAAAATTTCTCATTTGTAGTATTTCATCATCACAAAAAATATGAATCATAGAAGTTGAGTTTTGAGAGTACAATTTTCTTCTCTTAAATCTTTATCATAAATTTTATTTTTTTTAGTATGTTTGAGACTTGTCAAATCCTCGTATCAAATAATATTTGTATCTATAATCTATAAAATATCATATCAAGTGAGAATAATTCTTTGGACTATTTTAACCCTATTACAATTCAATTATTTAAAGAATACCTTACTTTTCACTTTTCAATATGTAATAAATATTACAAAATCCTTGTCATTTATAAATTTCGTGTTATTAATTAACATTTACATTATTCTAGATTTAATGAATCTTGACTTGATGAATCTAGAGTTATTGTGGATAAATTTATTTCGTGTTTAAATTCATGTATTAACAATTAATTCTTATGCACCAAATGTAGTATAAAAATATTGCTCATTTGTAGTATTTCATCGTCACAAAAATTTTGAATCATAGAAGTTGAGTTTTGAGCGTGCAATTTTCTTTTCTTAAATTTCTATTCTAAATTTTTTTTTCTTTAGTTCGTTTGAGACTCATTATATCCTCGTATCAAGTATTACTTTTATAACACTTATAAAATATTTTAGAATAACGTGCAATGCACGTTTAACCCTGACTAGTATATATAAAAGGATAGGTGAGAAATTGTTGCGAGTCAAGGGTATGGTCATTACGCCACACAAGCTAAGGGGTTGAATTGGTAATTGAGGAAGGCATGAATAATGAATTTTCAGGCCACTTCAAAATGTCTGATTTTCAACTTTTGCAATTTTTAATTCAAATTCCCAAATTCGAAGTTTCTGAAACTGAACGGATTTATTTGAGAGAGACTTTTGGTGCTTGAAATGTCAATTAGAAACAACTTCATCCAAGGCGTTGGGCAGAATCACAAGTGTACTAGGCTGTACAAAAAAATCGTGAAACTACAAATCGAACTGAAATCATTAGTTTGAAACCGTTGGTTCATGTCCACATGGACCCGCTATTTTTTTCCCCTCAAATCGTTGCAAAATGGTTTGGTTTATGTTTCAATTTTCAAAAATAACATAAAATTGAACCAAACTGTTTTTTTTTATTTTTTAATTAAAAAATTAATTATATTAACTTACAAATTTTAAAGTTTTCACTTTTTAGAAAAAAATATCAATTTAGCAATACAAATTACAACCAACTCATTGAAATAATCATATAAAGTAAATTAAGTTCATCATTATTGGTCGATGATTTTATAAGTCCACAATATACGTCCTAACCTGATATCTAATCTAAACTAAAATCCCCAAATCATATGAAATGAAAAAAAAAAACATTTATTTTCAATAATCCAAATGATAATTCAACAAATCTACAACAACAAATCACGCTCACAACTTCAAAAGCCCTAACATAAACTCTAATTTTTCAAACATTTGACGCTTGTCTGTCAATACTGAACAAAATGTGATTCTCAATCGCAAATCGCTAGTCGCCTTTTGCTTATTGGTCTTCTACCCGAATCACCTATTTCTCTATTCTCTCTTGGTAAGTCTTAAATTCTCATTTAAGTCATTTTTTTCATTGTTCTTTTCTTTTATTTGTTGTTTTTTAACTTATTCTACACTTGTTGTGAGTTGTGATTTGGATAAAAAAATGACTGGTTGTGTGCTTAGAGGATTAATGAACTTGTTTGTGGTTTAGAAAGAATGAAGGATTGAACGTATTGATTGTGTGAAAATGTTAAAATTCCTTAACTAGTATTTGCTACCTTCTACTTTCTTAAAGTCGTTAGCGAATAAAATTTGTTAATTTTCAATAAACCTAACCTCTATCATTCTTTGTACATTTAAACATATCATATTCAATCCTTATTTTTCATCTCACCAGTATGTCGAAAGGAGTTTTACCCAAACTATTACAGCAGAATGTGGCTCTATCTTTACCAACCGCTATACGACAATATGAAAGGCAAACTAAAAAGGTAAATAAAAAAGAAGAAATATATATTCGTTCTATTAACATCTTTTAGTAATTAACTTTGAAAATAATTTATTCACAGGTTACGTGAAAAAGATGAATGCAATTTAACATTTAACGTTAATAGTTCTCGTTAAAACTTATGTGTTAACTTATTTTAAATATATTATTATAATGTTGATATGTAAACTGCGGATTAAAACCGAACTAACCCGCAAATTATGGCTTGGTTCGAAAAATAAAATGGTTTGATTTGATTTTAAAAAATTACAAACCGCATGAAATGGTTTGAATTGAAAATATGACACAAACCGTCCAAATCGAATCTCGTTCACTCCTAAAGTGCACTGCTTAGTAGGGTGGGAAGGGTGCTCGTTGGTGTGTGTGGGGGGTGGGTGGGGTGCTTTGTTCAATAGTCATCAGAATCACGAGGAGTACCGCGCAAAATTACTTAAAAAGACAATGTTCTTTGTCCTCTTGATCAGTGTTTTCGTCTTCTTGAAAAATATGGCTTACCAACCATTGGTTACTACATTTATAATTCTTCATTTGTTTATAGTAAAGATTTCATCGAAGAAAATTTCTTACTAGGATTGACTTATTTCTTTTTTTGGGTCCTGATACTCGACTGTATAAAAAGAACAAATAATGTTCATAATATTGGCAGCTCGTTGAATCTACGCATACTAACGGTAGTTGGAGCTGTGTTTATATACCTCATCGTAAATTAAGTCGAATAGAAAGGAGATTGTAGCTTAGGGATGTGCCGTGCAAAATCGAGAATGGAACAAACATCCATACTAAGAAGGTTGTTGTCATTATGACATAAAACCAGGAAATATGCTTAAGAAATTAGGAGCAAATTCCTCAAACAAACAAAGACAGAATACCATAAAGACACGTGACAGAACAAATTTGTCTAAACACCTCCAAATGATAATATATCACAATAGCAATAATAAGCAAAATAATGGATGCTGCTCTTATGGTTTCCAGAGGATGGTTGTTTCTGCAATCATGGAACTGACAACATAGGGATCCATGTTTGAAGCAGGCCTCCTATCCTCAAAATAACCTTTGCCAGCCTTCTCAGTGTCTCGGCCAACCCTGATCGAGGCTCCACGATTCGCCACGCCCTGTAAAGATGAGCATTTGTGGGAGGAACATAAGCCTATGTAATGAAAATTATACGAGTTTGAATAACTGGATTCTTTGCAACTAGTTTTGGTTCTACCCCTCCTTCAAGTGAGAACTGTTAGTTAACTTAGTGCACGGATATACTAGAAAAATACGAATCAGAAGTTTTTACCCATAAGAAGGTGTTGATGTCAGCTGTTTCGTGCCTTCCTGTGAGACGGCGTTCATTGCCTTCTCCATATGCAGCAATGTGTTCCTTGTGCTTCAACTCTAGCTTGTCAATGGCGGCTTTAATAACTTCATAACCTCCATCCTCTCTCATGGACTTGGTACTGAACAAAGTTAATACGTACCATTTAGACAAAAAAGGTGGAGCATATTGCTAAAACTAGCCTGAAAAATGAAAAGATTCATGAAATTTAACCTGTAGTTGGTGTGGGCACCAGCTCCATTCCAGTCACCCTGCCATTGAAAATGTATCCATTCGTGAATTAAAGCGAGTAGGTGATAAGTTGGTACAGAGAGAGCAATCTCAATAGCAAAAGTCTAACCGGAATAGGCTTGGGATCAAAAGAGACAACCACCCCGGCAATCTCTGTTATCCTCTGTCAACATGAACACAAATAACATGATAAGTTGCATTTGAAAGTAGAAGTTACACAATTTTTAAGCCATACCGACTCCAAACAGCGAAAAATAGTTGGGCAGACTAATGGAAGTACCTCAAGAATGTAACGAGACACCCATACTTCATCTCCTGCAGCGATGCCAACTGATGGACCAACTTGGTATTCCCACTGTGCCATAGACGCGACGAATTGGACAATTAGGTAAAAACTCAAGAAACCTGACGTAATTGCATGTGTAGAGGAAAGTTCAACTCATAAAATTTAACACTTTTTACCTGGCCAGGCATGACTTCTCCATTGATGCCACTAATGTTTATGCCAGCATAAAGACATGCTTTGTAGTGTGCATCAACAATCTCACGTCCAAATGCCTTATCAGCTCCAATTGCACAATAGTATGGTCCCTATCAATCAGGCACGAAGTGCTTTAAAATCTTGAATAAGGGAAATATATGACTAGACAACAGAAAATAGGTGAAATCTCTATTAGACTAGACGAAAAGTTATACTGTGAAAAATGTCACTCGTGATACCTGAGGTCCTGGGAATCCTCCCACAGCCCAGCCAAGTGGCCATTTGACATCTTTTTGTAACAGAGTATACTCTTGCTCTATACCGTACCTGTATTTGAATTATTCAATCAAATTTTATCATATACATCAAAGAAAACTTGATACAAGATTAACGAAACTACTATAAAGAGCCAAAGGGATAAGAGTGTACCAAGGTTCCTCATCAACAACATCGGGATGGCTAAATGTTTTTGCAGCATTATACCTCTTGTTCGTTGGAATCGGTTCTCCAGCCGGAGTGTAAGTATCACACATAACCTATGTTTTTACATATCAATCGCAAAAAATAAATTTTTGTACAGCAATAAGAAGGATTAGAAGATCGTAATAGACTAAAAAGAACTCACAAGTATGTGGTTTCCTCTCCTGAATGGATCGGGGAATATTGCTTGAGGACTAAGCACACATTGAGAAAACTAATATTAATCCACTTGGGAAATAAATGATTCATGGAAAAAGTGCTTTCGGAGAAATTATATATACGAATAGAAGGGATTAGTGAAGAAAGCTTACTAAAGAATGACTTCACTGTCCTCACCAGGGGCTTGACCTGTGCTAGAACCATCATAGTTCCACTTGGGAAGCTGTGAAGGATCAGTTACTGGTCCAGAGAGAGTCTGATTCATAACATAATAGAATTAACAACCAAATTTCATTGAGAATTAGGACATAAAAGACACTACAACTTTTATGCAACCCTTGTGGCTAGCCCGACAGAGTGTACTGGACAGTGCTAAACAAGAAAAAAAAAGAAGCTAAAATTCTTGTCGATTATACTATTTAGTCATGTCGAGTACAAGGCCTAATGTAAGATCAATTACCCTGGCTTTGCTTCTGAGGTCCATCCCAGATCCACCAATCCTGATCAAAGATTATATCAAAATATTCATAAATATGAAAAAGTCCACTCCTTGATGAATAAAATAAACCCATAATCAAGATACTGCAATGAACAGAGAATTTACAATGATTCAAGAGTTCCAAAGTTTGTGGAAATTATTAAACAAACACACATCAAGAAAGTGATTCATGTTAAAAAAAAAAATCCCATTAATGATAAAACAAGAAAAATCAAATCAAATCAACATGCATATAAAATCTCTTTCCAGTACAAACAAGAAAAGATAACAAAGGATCAAAAACAAGTATCAAATAACTAAGAATGATTGCAGAAGAGATGAAATCCTGAAAGAACCAACCATATGTATTCAGCAATGGTTTTCTCAGTAGTTTCGGAAAGGTCCAAGTTGATGAGATCGTTGAGCAGAGACATCTTTTCTTCTTCACTTGTATACAAACCAGACGATGAACCCTTTTTGTTTTTGTTGATTTTTTCTCACTCGGAGGAACTGAGCTGCCAACTATTATACTATGGAGAGACGTGAATTGTTGAATTGGGTAATTGTAGCCATTAATGGGAAAGAAAACTCATATAATTAATTAAAATGGAGGATTATGGAGATTGGAAAATTTCCATATGGATTTATGGTAATAGAAAATCTTATGCATTAAAGAATTATTATTTGGCGTTATGAATGGTAGGTGTTGGTATTGGTATTATCGTTTTTAGCTGTAAAAAAAGATAAAAATGAATAAGGTTCGACGAGAGTCACGAGACAGTATAATAAATAAATTATAATTTATTTTTCTTCTTGAGTTATGTCTCATGCTATTTAATTTTTGAACAATGCTAAATGAATACTCAAAGTTTGACATTGTTTTTGACATTCCGTTGTTTTCAAAAAAAATTGTTGATGGAAAATGTGTTTTTTAAAACTGTTCAATGTGATGTCGTCACATGACATTATGTAAAGAATGGTGCAAAAAAAAATGTACATATAGCATGATTATTACTTTTTTTTGCTAAACATTTGATATTGATTTGCTCGATCCTCTCCTTTTGTTAAAATATTTGAATCATGCTACATGTATAATATTGGTTGACAACATCTTATTTGGTATCATCATATCCATCCATTTTAAAAAATTGTTTTCTACATCACATACTAGGATTTTGACAATACATTGTTGTCAACCAATGTTGTATACTTATATTTATTCAAAATATTTCTACAAAAGTAAAACAAGTTTCTTTATATAATATTAATAAATGACAATCACATAATATTTGTTTAATTGAACTTTTTAATTTTTAATTTTTTCCCATACGAATTGATTGATACTGAGGAATCAGGAATAGATTCCAAGTAAGAGAACATTGAATCTGGTGAGTGGAGACTGAGTCACCCCAGTGTCTGACTGGGAATTACAATAGTACACGGCAGATTCCCAAGTATCTTTCACATATATATAAGTTGAAATATAATTTTTTTTTTTTTTTTTAAATATGAAAAGGTTTGTTAGTGGGTATAAACGTCAAATAAATAATGGTTAAAGTTTTTAATTTTAATTTTTTTATACATATATTATTAGCTCAATTGTCACTTATCGATTGAGCGGTTCCTTGAGGCGAGAGCTCCTAAATTTTTAAAGTTTATATATTTATGTTTTTTTTCTTATAAAAAATTCTTTTGGTAATTAATAAAAATTAATTAAAGATTACAGGCACTTTTTTAGTTAGTAATATTAGAAACATAAATAGTTTAACAAATTTAATTTACAAAAAAAACATTTCGTCTATGAATAAACTAATATAAAATGCGATAATTTTTTTTTTTTTTTTACATATATACACAATTAACTGGCCTTATCATTTCACCCTATCACCTATCACATCGTGTAGTGGATGATACCCATTTGTCCATTTAACATTATTCTACTAGGAATGGTCTAGGGTTTGTCGTTCGGGCTTCCCCCATCACCATTTTCAGCTAAAATAATTCAATTTATCATTCTAGTTATTTTATGTGGGGTTTAAATATGAGTTTGCAAAGTGAAGAATGATGATGCTTTTCTTATGACTTGTTTAAATTTTATTGCATGGATGTATGTATTGTATGTTGGATTTTGTGACCCAAATTACGTGGAATATTTTGAGAAAATATTTCCTTTATTTCATGTGTGTTATTGAAAAAATATTAAGAAAAGATTATTTCTTTATTTCACGTGTTTTTTTTTTATCTTGTTTCCATCTTTACGATATTTTTAGGCCCTATAAATAGTAGACACTTCATTCAATTTAGTAGATTGAAGAAGTTGCTGAAAGTTGTATTTTCTCTCAAGTAGTTGTCATTAATAAAAATATTTGGTTCATCTACCAATTTCTTATTTGTTTTCTTTTAAATTTTGTTTTTGTTTATTAGTTTGTGTAATCTATATTTCATATCGTGTCATATCACTTCCTCGAATTCCTAACAAGTGGTATCAGAGCCAAGGTTCACCAGTTCCACAAAGCAATGATTTGATTGTTTGAGATTTTTTGATATCGATGGCTACCATGAAATATAATATTTCGCTATTGGATCAGAGTACAAGATTTTCATTGTGGCAAGTGAAGATGAGAGCTTTATTGGCGTAGATGAATTTGGATGATACTTTGTTGGGATTTGATATGATACCCACAACTTAGACAACAAAGGAGAAGCAACGGAAGAATCGCAAGACACTTTCACAGATTCATCTTCATCAATTTAATAACATTCTTTAGGATGTCTTGAAGAAGAAGACAACAACTGTATTATGGTTGAAACTGGAGCAATTGTACATGACCAAAAGTCTGACCAGCAAATTACATCTGAAGCAGAGGCTTTATTCTCATCGCATTGCAGAAGGCTGATCACTGGAAGATCATTTGGCCGTGTTTAAGGAGATTGTCGCTGATTTGGAGACGTTAAAGGTAAAATATGATGAATAGGATTTGGTTTTAATCATATTGTGCTCGCTGCCTGGTTCGTTTTCGTCATTTAGGGACACAATTCTGTATAGTCGTAACACACTCACCATTGAAGATATGTATGATGTTTTGTTCTCAAAGGAGAAGATGAAGCATCTGGTTGGAGCCGATTCTAGAGATGAGAAGGCTCTGTGGTTCATGATGATCGGCAAAGGGGCAAGTCGAGGGTGGATTTTAGCAATAGGGTCTGTTTTTATTGTAAGAAGAAATGACACATCAAGAGGGATTACGATAGTTGCAGGGTAAGAATAATTCAGCTGTAAATCGTGGGAGGCAATCAGATATTTCAGATGAGACCAACACAGTCAAGAACTATTTGGGTGGAGTAGATGTTTTGACGATTTTTGACGTGGAATCCAAGTCTGATGAGGAGTGAATTTTAGATACAGCTTGTGCATTTCATATGAGTCCCAATCAGGATTTGTTTGAATCATATGAAACGGTGACACAAGGTGTCATCGTTATGGGAAACAACAAATCTTGTTGGGTGGCTGGTATTGGGAGAGTCAGATTGAAGTTGGTGAATGGAACAATTAGAACACTTAGCTATGTTCAACATGTTCTAGACTTGAAAAAGAACATCATCTCGTTGAGTACCATGGATTTGAGAGGGTACACGTTCTTTGGAGTAGGTAGAGTTTTGAAGGTCTGGAAGGTTGTCCGTATTGTATTGGAGGGGCGGAGAAAGTCCCAGTTATACATCTTGCAAGGTTGGGCAGAATCGGTGAAAAGACATCAGCACAGGTTTGGTACCGTGGTAGATGTACAGTTTGGTACAGTACCATTAGGAGTTGGCTCTAGGTCTATTTTGGAGAATACTACTCTATCGAGTTTTGGGGATACGGGTAATTCTGCTTTGCCACACATAGTCTGCGGTTCCATTATATTCAATGGCTAGGGAGAGACCCATTGGAGATAGGTACGAGATGCTGATCTGGATGTGCATGTTTTTGGAGTTGTTGAAGGTGACAAGTCTAGCCAGGGGTCTTCAGTTAGAGCATTTAGTGTTGGTTCTACTACAGGGTGTGCTTCGACACTATTTGGTAAATTTTGAATTCTTTGTGAATTTTGGGAACTCGATGGTTGGGTTCATTTATCCGTGTTGGATATGGTAGAAGAGAAAGAGTATTTTTCGTGTGTCAGAGAAGTTTGATTTGGGATGAAGAGTTCAGTTTGTTCATTGCAGTCAGACTTATTTTTCCAAATGGAGAAATTTTGAAATTTCGTTTGTTGCATTGGAATTTGTGTTAGGGTGGAGATTGTTGGATTTTGTGACCCAAATTAGGTGGAATATTTTGAGAAAATATTTCTTTTATTTCACGTGTTTTATTGGAAAAATATTATTTCTTTATTCCATGTGATTTTTTTTTATCTTGTTTCCATTTTTATGATATTACTAGGCCCTATAAAAAATAGACTATTCATTCAGTTTAGTAGATTTCAGAAGTTGCTGAAAGTTATATTTTCTCTCCATTGGTTGTCATTAATAAAAATATTCAGTTCCTCTACCAATTTCTTGTTTGCTTNGTTTGGTTTAGGTTTGAGCTTTTCTTAAAACGGTTTGGTTTGAAAATTTGTCAAAAACCGCAAAAACCGGATCGCTTACACCCCTAATTTTATGTGAGGTTTAAATATGAGTTTGCAAAGTGAAGAATAATGATGCTTTTTTCATGACTTGTTTAAATTTTATTGCATGGATGTATGTATTGTATGTTGGATTTTGTGACCCAAATTAGATGGAATATTTTGAGAAAATATTTCCTTTATTTCACGTGTTTTATTGAAAACATATTAAGAAAATATTATTTCTTTATTCCACGTGATTTTTTTTTATCTAGTTTCCATCTTTGTGATATTTTTAGGCTCTATAAATAGTAGACTCTTCATTCAATTTAGTAGATTGAAGAAGTTTTTGAAAGTTGTATTTTATCTCAATTGGTTGTCATGAATAAAAATATTTGGATCATCTACCAATTTCTTATTTGTTTTCTTTTAAATCTTGTTTTTGTTTATTAGTTTGTGCGATCTATATTTCATATTGTGCCATATCATTTCCTCGAATTCCTAACAAGTGGTATCAGAGACAAGGTTCACCAGTTCCGCAAAGCAATGATTTGATTGTTTGAGATTTTTTGCTATCGATGGCTACCATGAAATATGATATTCCGCTGTTGGATCAGAATACAAGATTTTCGTTGTGGCAAGTGAAGAAGAGAGCTTTATTGGCGTAGATGAATATGGATGATGCTTTGTTGGGATTTGATAAGATACCCACAACTTGGACAACAGAGGAGAAGCAACGGAAGAATCGCAAGACACTTTCACAGATTCATCTTCATCAATCTAACAACATTATTTAGGATATCTTGAAGGAGAAGACAATAGCTGCATTATGGTTAAAACATGCATGATCAAAAGTC